TAGTTTGAATTGATGAATTCCTGTAATTTTAAATTTAATCAAACTCATTGAAGAACTCTTTTCTTCCTTAAAAAAGGCTGCAAAAGTGCCATTTACCACTCACAAATTTAATACCTAGATTGCCTTAAAAACTCACTAAAATACATGACATTTTCAAAAATTTTCCCCGGACCCCCCTCCTGTGCTGGGGGGTATTCCATACCCCCCAGACCCCCCGGTAGATGGGGGGGCCCGAGCAAAATCCTGGTAACAGGGCCCAAAATTGAATGTGGGGGCCATGATATGGAATGATATATTAAGGAATGTTAATCCTCCTAGCCCCCAGTGGGTGACACCATAGAGGATCCTCTATGCTGATTCGACTAAATAAACTTGACAATTTTGTTACAACCAAATCGGCAAATTAACCTAGGTGGCTAGGGCACTACCTAATACAGTAAATAATTCCATTCTTTCATTGATGCTAAAGAAGGATTTTCATTTCATTTCATGTCTTACTATTAGGAGGCTGCCCTTTAGATTTGTTCACTTCGCACTTTAGATGTGTTTACATCGAGTCAGGTAAAAAATGTTACTTACCTAAGGGCCTCAGGCCAAATCCGATCGGTTCAAAATCGGGTTTCTTTTGAAACGGTTGATTTTTATAATAGGCCTATAATGTCGATTTTCAAGCCCAACAGAGGCTGGACTACAAGCTTGAGAGATCAAGCACAGAGTCAGAAAATCAAGCTCGAGCCGATTTTATCAGTAGGCTATTCAAAACAATAATGCACAATTAAAAGTAAAAGCTTTTATATCCGTGAGGATCACGCTCACGAAATTGAAAGATTAGGCCTACGCTTTTGCCGCGATCGCGGATATCGACGAGAACATTTACCCATGGGTGACGATGACGATGTCTTTGCGGCTGCAGATGTTCATTTTGCCGCGATTGCGGAAGACGATAATGACGTTTCTTTTTTAGCGAGAGATATATCTAGAATTTAGCCGCGATTACGGAAAAATGATTTACCCGTCACCACCGACGGATCGCGGGGAGATATTAGGCCGTGATATTCGATTGGGCCGTGAACGCGGGAGACGATGATACTGCTATCTTATGATGGCATAAGTTTGGTTGCATTTGCAATCACGGTAAACTATGATAATGTTTCTTCCATGACTTATGACTACGGGAAGTATTTACGATTTTGCCGCGATCATGGAAGACGATAATGACGCCTCGGCAGATGCCTTGTCAATTTTATTGCAAAATTGCAAGTTTAGGCGGTAATACATAGGAAATTTTTTTTAAAGATCATTGAGAGAGGGGGCCCGGTGAAAAAACTTGCGGGAGGGCCCGAGGGTTCTTATCGCCGCCACTGTTTATCTAGCCTTACACTTTCAAACCAAGTGTCATCAATCGGAAAAAAATTACTCAAGTTATCGCGTTCACGGACGTATATACAGTATATATGGTATTATATAAATACTAGAGAACCTGTGCGGCTCAATGAGCCGCATAGTATGAAACATAATGACGAGGAAAACATTATGCTTAAATTTGAGTAACTTTAGTTACATCTTAGAGTTGCTTGAAAACTTGTTAGAAACTAATTTTAAATACCTCTATTGGCGTCGTCAAGGTTCATCTACATCGTTTCTGCTCTCAGTTTTACCGGTAACTGATAACTTCTAATGAATGCTAAACGATGGATCTGCCTCAACTCGAGTTAACATGTTACAAGAAAGTTTTTCCAGCATTGAGAATTGAAGAACACTGTTACCTTACTGATAACCTGTCTTAAGTAATTTAAGTTGGGTCATTTTATTTCTTTGATTTGAGGCATCCCCCTGATCAAATGAATTTTCTCCGTAGAGTAACCTGAAAAGTTGGGTGATATCAACCATTTCATGTGCTCCATTTTTTACCCACAAACTCTGGGTTACCAACTGGACAGCTATAATCTGCTTTGAATAGGCTAAGGCAGCAACACCATTGAAAGTTAGAGAACGTATTTTAACGTGTTGTCTGTCAGTCACGGTATATGCCCTGCATCAGAACGTTCTCACGTTGTTCAGTGCAGTTTCTCTTAATACCTGTCCCAAAGTTTTGAAAGTAACTTATGTATACATTTGTCGAAATATGTTGGATAACTCTTGTAGCTATAATATTTGGATAGCAATTTTAATTTTGTCTTTTTGAACAGCGTATATTATTTTCCTGGTAATTATTTGGACGTAGTGACTACTCGCAAAAGTGAAATTTTTTTTTTCAAAATGACCTAAATTTCACGCTGAATCCGAAAATGAGGTTTTTATTTTTCGGAAAATACCGGAAATTCCCGAAAAAAGGGAAAAACGGGAAAAATATTTTTTTACTCAAAATATGCGGAATATTGTGTAGATTAAGAATATGCAAGAATTGTTTTGATCCGATGAAAAACACCGGAGATATGACGAAAAAACTGAATAATCTGTTAGGTTAGGCTTGGTTAGGCTAGGTTAGGTTAGGTTAGGTTAGGTTTGGTTGGGTTTGGTTAGGTTAGGTTAGGTTTGGTTAGGTTTGGTTAGGTTAGGTTAGGTTTGGTTAGGTTAGGTTAGGTTTGGTTAGGTTAGGTTAGTTTAGGTTAGTTTAGGTTAAGTTTGGTTAGGTTAGTTTATCAATAACATGAGTATTGTAAGTAAACTAAACTAACCTAACCAAACCAAACTTAACCTAACCTAAACTAACCTAACCAAACCTATCCTTACCTCATCATTAGGTTAGGTTAGGTTTGGTTTGGTTAGGGTAGGTTAGGTTTGGTTGGGTTTGGTTAGGTTTGGTTAGGTTGGGGTTAGGTTTGGTTAGGTTAGGTTAGTTTAAGTTAAGTTTGGTTAGGTTAGTTTATCAATAACATGAGTATTGTAAGTAAACTAACCTAACCTAACCTAACCAAACCAAACCTAACCTAATGATGAGGTTAGTTTAGGTTTGGTTAGGTTAGGTTTGGTTAGGTTAGTTTAGGTTAAGCTTGGTTAGGTTAGTTTATCAATAACATACTACCAAACTTTGGTTTGGTTAGGTTAGTTTAGTTTACTTACAATACTAATACTAATACAATACCAAACTTTGGTTTGGTTAGGTTAGGTTAGTTTACTTACAATACTCATGTTATTGATAAACTAACCTAACCAAACTTAACCTAAACTAACCTAACCTAACCTAACCTAACCTAACTAACCAAACCTAATCAAATCCAACCTAACCTAACCTAACCAAACCTAACCAAACCCAACCCAACCAAACCTAACCTAACCTAGCCTAACCAAGCCTAACCTAACAGATTATTCAGTTTTTTCGTTATATCTCCGGTGTTTTTAATCGGATCAAAACAATTCTTGTATATTCTTAATCTACACAATATTCCGCATATTTTGAGTACCCACATGACATATTTTGAGTAAAAAAATATTTTTCCCGTTTTTCCCTTTTTTCGGGAATTTCCGGTATTTTCCGAAAAATAAAAACCTCATTTTCGGATTCAGCGTGAAATTTAGGTCATTATGAAAAAAAAAATTTCACTTTTGCGAGTAGTCACTACGTCCAAATAATTACCATTTTCCTCTCCTGAATCATAAAAATAAACTTCACCGTAACTACTTGATCGTTCAATACATAGGCTAAACACTAATTCCTTCACTTAAGTAACTTATGGTCTAATATTTCCACTAAAATTTTCAAAAGCAAATGAGTTTTTGAAACTTCTTATTTTTTACTTGAAATGTCTGGATTGTGTTGGTGAATTCAGTCAAAAAACGTTGTATAAGTTTGTCCAAAGAACTGGTAACATAACATAACTTAGTTGTAAACAATCCATAATTTACGTTTTTTCTCAATTAAAGAAGAGCGTGTAATACAAATTTTACGATAAATCATAAGGTCCGCCAAGATTTGGTATAATCTTACTACTTGAACTTATATAAGTCAAGGCATTATTATAGTTTCTACTAAATGTTTTGAAATATCTCAATCTGTCAGTGTCTGAAGTAAACATTTCTTGCATACAGTCATTTGATCTTACATTAGGCAAGTTTACTTTACCGGTACCACCGTGACAACACTATAATGAGCTTTGTATATTTTTCCACTTCCAAAGTTGCATAGCAGAACTGGCAATTTTTATTCATCTTACCAAGTGAATGTGTATCTGGATGGGTATCTGTTAGATCAGGCCTCTCTTTTTCTACTCTCCTCATACGCACAAGATATCTTATTATTTAATTAATGGGTACAGTTTCTTAACTGGGCTATGCTAATATCGATTGAAACTATCGAATTGAAAATATTGATTAATAATCAATATTTTTAAACATATCTATTATAAAATAAAACTATCATAACCTAACCTAACCAACCAAACTTGCTGATGGTGAAAAAAATCGCATGAAGGTTTACTAATCGAATCGATAGTTTCAATCAATATTAGCATAGCCCAGTTAAGAAACTGTACCCTAATTAATTGTGTCCTCCTCCCGTGTTCAATATTTCTTCTTTGAACTTGAGGCATTTCCTGTTCTTCCAACAAAGTTTTTTGTTTTTAAATTTGTTCTATGTATTTCTTATGGGGACAACCTGACCTTTGAGAGGGTCTAACGCCCTTAAGAGCAGGAATTTTAAAGTTCTAAAACCTTAATGCAAAACTACATATTGAGACGAATCTTTTGACACCTCAAACGTTGAAATCGTTCCACAAATAAGGGACGAGTTGCGTTAACAAAAAACGGCTTCACGTATTATATATATAGAAGATAGATAGATAGATAGATAGAGATATAAAAGTTACATATGTATAACTAATTAATTTGAACGAATAGTGTTTTTGGCTTCTCTAGGGACGTTAAGTTAAAAAGGAAAAAGTATACCGGTTCCGGCTCCAGGTCTTACCCATTAGATCTACGGTAATAGCTTAAGTTATTCCCTATATGAGAAATTCGCTAAAAGGCAAGCATATGAGTTACAATAAAAATACAATACTTGCCTGCAACACAGTCTTTACACCAGCTTTTGCCAGAAGCGTCAAGAGAACCTGTAAATAATACGTAAAATACAACTTTCTTGTCGTCTAACTCTTTAGTTATTCTCAAATACTCATCGTAACCTTCCACCGAATGTTTTATGACCATTCTCAAGAATCCTTCTATATAACTTCTAACTAGCTTGCTTCTAACTACTTTATTACCAGCTAGGATTATTTACTATTATAACTAATTAACGTTGGGCAATTACAGCAGATATGGAACAGGAACAAACAGAAATTCACCGACAGGGACAGCACTGACAGCAGCAGGGCAGTTAGTAGCAGTTGTAGCAGTCAGTCCAGTACTGGTATTGCAGTAGCAGTAGTGTAGTGGTAGTGTTTGGTTTAGTGTTTAGCTAGCAGACGCAAGTTTCAAACCCAAACCAAAACAAGATAACAGACATTCAATCCAGAAGTTCCATGGACGAGACCGTTCGTGGAGGACACAACCCCCCACCACCGTGCTGTGGGACAGCGGAATTGGAATCGGAACGGTACATAAAAAATAATTCTGTTTATTAAATAAAACTAGAAATTGCTCAATTAAAATTTTATAATGACTTAATAATAAAATTAAACTGTCATAACCGAACCAAACTTGCTGATAATGAAAACAATCTTGGACAAAAAGTTAATGTTATCAGCGGGATTCGATCCCGGGACCTTCAGCATATTAGCCCGACACCCTATCCACTACACCACCGAGGCCGATGTCTATAGAGCGTATTGTTACGGTAATGGCGTTCCCTCAGCTAATAAGAAGCCCACAGCTGTCATCGTAGCCTCTTCTATACCTCCCCTGAGTAAATACCACATCGGTGCAGCTTCTTCTTCTTCAAATCCCAAGCCTCCTCTGTCGGTCCTAAGACACGTTATCTATCTTAAGGGACGTCTGGAGCTTAACAACACTACTTGCGACGTTGTCAAATTAATGTCAATTCTACTAGGCCGCGGACTGGAGTTAAAGGCGACCGTGAAGAAAACAGTATATTTTATAGATATATTTTGTTATAGTACGTACTGCAAAAGAAAGTACTATTGTTTTAATTCTGTCACAGAATTTCTGTGTAAGTTGGTTGGCACTTCTTACAAAATGGTATTGTTTTTGTACAGCTGCTTTAGTATTTAATCTGCTTATGCCTGGCCTTTTACATCACAGCCTTTTAAGAACAGTGTGGAGTAAGATTTGGTTTAAATGCTCCGTTCGCCAATGGGAAGAGAGTATGTGAAGTTCCAATGGGAAGTTCTGCGGTGGGGCACACGGGAGGGACTAAGGCTAACATATCTTGTAGTGTCTGCGTTCGCCGCTAGGAGTGCTAAGTTGAAAAAATTTAAATTAATTTTTTATTTTTTATTTTTTGTTATAAAATTAACTTTTTAATTATAAAATATTGTTTTAAAATTATAAAATTAATTTTTAATTTTTAAAATTAAACTGTCATAACATAACCTAACCAACCAGACTTGCTAATAATATAAAAACTATATAAGATAAAAATCTAATTAATGATTACTTATAATTTTTAATTAATTATAAAATTAATTTTAAAATTTAGTATTATAAAATTAAACTGTCATAACCTAACCTAACCAACCAAACTTGCTGATATGAAAAATTTGTTGACATAAAGATAGTGCTGCCAGTGGGTTTCGAACCCCGGACCTCCTGAACACCAATCCCAAACGCTATCAACTATGCCACGAACGCCGCTGAAATCACCTCGTTTCGTTACGGTAATCGTGTCGCCTCAAGAGAAGACATTAACCACTAGAGATATGACGTCACTACACCTTTAGCCTTAGTCCCTTCCGTGTGCCCATTCCGGAAGTTCTGACAAGTGAAAGTATGGAGACATTGTTTTTTTGACTCGATTCGGCTCCGGCCCGGCTGTCATGGACAATTGGACAGCCTGCGCAATGCGCAGTCGCTACGACGGCGCTGAAGGGCCACCAACTGAATAAAAAAATATTTGTATTCATCTCTGAGAAAAAACTTAGAATTCTGAGATTAAAGTCAGAATTATAACTAGAACTAGTGGGCGTTCCCCTCTGAGATTTAAGTCAAATTTTAACTCTTTGCTGGCTTGCTCTCTCTCTACCCTTTAGCTTTTTATGTTATCATAAGCATCTAAATGCCAAAGATCGTTTGAACCTTTGTTCTTGTATATTCGTCGACGTAAACGTTTGCGGTAACGTTTGCGTTGCGTAAACGTGAATCTAAAATAATCACCAATAATGGCTTCTCTTTCATTAGTGTCCATTTCGGTGCTCAATTCGCGTCGTTAGGCAGTAGAAGAACGTTCAATTCAAAGGAACGCCCACAAGTTCAATTCTGACTTAATCTCAGAATTCTAACTTTTTTCACAGAGAGGAACGCCCACTTGTTAAATTCTGACTTTAATCTCAGAGGGGATTTACGCTAGCGGGGGGAACGCCCACTAGTTAAATTCTGACTTTAAACTCAGAAATCTGACTTTTTTCTCAGAGAGGAAGCCTAATTCCCGCACTCTGACTTTAATCTCAGAATTCTAACTTTTTTCTCAGAAATGAAGACAAATATTTTTTTATAGTTGGTGGCCCTTCAGCGCCGTCGTGGTCGTACTCGTACAGTACAGTCGCAGTCCAGTCACTAGTCAGTGAGTGAGTGAGTGCAGCACTGCAGCTGAAAGCAAAGCAGAAGCTTTTACCTTGCCAACCATTGACTAGGCCTATTGACTATATTGGAAATTAGATACTGAAGTAGCCGACTGTATTTCAAAAAGTTTACTATAAAGGAGGTTTGGATACAGTTTGCTTCCCAATATTCCTACCAGCTTCAATCATGCACTCAGATGAAAGGTAAGCTAGGCGTTGTCCTTATTAAGGTAAGCAAGCCTAGGCTAGGCCTACTTGAACCAGTACAATAGCACGCCTATTTAATTAGGTATAGCCTAAGTTATTGATAACTAAGTCAGGCTCAGAAACTGTACCCCTTCATTCAATCTAGTACCTAGGCTTAGTTTAAATCAAATTATTGGAGTACATTTTAATAGGTAGGGTAGCCTTGTAAAAGAAATTTAAAAATATTTTAGGCTAGGCCTAGTGCTAAGTTATGGGTTTTATTAAGAAAGGCCAGAGTATTATTAGTAGGCATATCCTATGCCTAGCTTGTCTCTAGGCATAAACACTCTAGGCTTGTCTCCTCTGGTAAAAAAAAAACTAGAATTCTAGTTTAGAATTCTAGTTAATTCTAACAACAAACCTGCTAAAAATCCTGAAAATAAAAACCCCAGCCTTAAAATTTATCACTTAAATATTCAAAGAGGACTCCACAAGAAAATTGAAAAATTACTATTTGAAGTCCATGAAATAAATCCAGATATACTAATAATTTCAGAACATGGCCTAACAAATGAAGAACTTAAATCAGTAAATATACCTAATTATATTCTATCCTCTGATTTCTCCAGACATATTTATAAATGGGGTGGGGTAGCAATTTATATTAAGGAAGCGATGAAATACAAGCAAATTCATGAAATAAACATTCAGGATTTCAACGAAGAACTGACAATTGAATTAGCAGCAATCGAATTGATAAAACAACAAACTATAATCATAGGAGGATACAGATCACCTAGTGGCAATTTAAATACATTTTTCAATAAATTTTCCGAATTTTTATCAAACTTCACGCATAAGAAAAAAAACATTATATTTATGGGAGATGTAAACATTGACTACCTCAAAAAAACAACCCCTGATACAATTGAATTTTTAAATATACTAACAGAACATAACCTGAAACCGATTGAGGTGGAACCTACCAGAATAACTTCTACATCTGAGACATGTATTGATTGGTGCTGTACTAATATTAGCCTATCAAAACTACAAGTGTCATCTATTTGGAACTCAATCTCTGACCATCAGGCTTTGAAATGTATAGTAGAAGCAATAAAAATGAAAACTAACCCCCCCATCAAAAGGCTAACCAGAAAAATAACGACAGCTAAATTAGATGAACTAAAAGAATCACTTAGTAATCAAGACTGGTCATACATAGGCCTATTTACAACTCCTGATGTTAACAAAAAATATAACTCGAAGTGGCAAATCTACCAATACAGCATTAGCAACCCTTTGTGATAAAATAACTAATATATGGGAAACTAAATCCCAAGCAACCGGCATCTTCTTAGACATCGAAAAAGCATTTGACAGCTTAGATAGAAAAATTCTTATAAAAAAGCTTAAGCAACTTAACATAACTCACAAAGCATTAGATTGGATCCAGAACTATCTAACGAACAGGAAGCAGCTAGTCGAAATAGAATATACGAAGAACTATTATGAAATTAAATGCAGGTCTAAACTACAGACAACTTACAAAGGAATTCCGCAGGGCTCCATACTAGGGCCCCTGCTTTTCTTAACATATATAAATTCATTCCCCACCAATTTTACAGAAGACAGCGCCTGTATAATGTTTGCAGACGACACAACAATCATCACACCAACAGATGGCAAAACTCCAGAACTTCAAAAATTAAAAACTAATGAAACTCTACAAATCCCTACAGATGCTTGCAACGAAATAAACTTGACAATAAATAAACAGAAAACAATAGTAATAAACTTCAAACCTACAAACCATAACAATGAAATTTCAACTACAGATGAAAACTCACAAACCAATACTAAGTTCCTTGGAATAATTTTGGACAAAAACCTAACATGGCATGATCACCTTTTAAAGCTAGGTGGAAAATTGTCACAAGTTGTGTATGCTTTACGAAGAATTAGAAGTCTAACAAACAAAGAAATTACTATAACTGCATATCATGCAATTTTTTCATCGCATATCAGATATGGCATCATAGCCAGGGGCTCTGCAAATGAAATTCACATTGAGAAAATAATAACCTTACAGAAGAAAGCAATTCGAATAATAGAACAAATTGAACAAGAAAACCCACAAGCCCACTGTAAACCTTTCTTTATCGAAAACCAAATCCTAACTGTAATCTCCCTTTACCTTTTTGAAACAATTACCTCAATCAAATCAAATCCCCCCCAACTCAGAACCCAATGTCACAACTATAACATCAGAAACAAATCAAACCTTGACATAGGCTATCACAGGCTAAACAAAACCAGTAAAACACCAAACAACATGGGGATCAAAATGTTTAATCTTTTGCCAAAAGAACTCAAAGAAATAAGTGAAAATAAAACTTTTAAAAAACAACTCAAACAATACTTGATTAAACGACCATATTATAAATTAATTGACTTTATAAATGAACACATATATAACCTAAACAATAAATAGGAGAGCAATGCTCAAACTCACACACACGCATACACATATTAACAAGAATTTGACGATTCCCCTGTCTACAAGGACGGCGGAGAAGACATCGATGGTAAATGGTAAATGGTAAAATCTTTGTCTGATTTTGGACAATTTCGGTTTAGAATGCACATTGGCACCAGTTGAAAGGGTGTTTCGTTAATCAAACATGCTTGAATGTGGGGTAGGCCTACAGTTTCTTCTGGGCTAGAGGCTATGCTAATATCGATTGAAACCTTCGATTCGATTAGTAGGCCTAGGCTAAACCTTCATGCGATTTTTTCACCATCAGCAAGTTTGGTTGGTTAGGTTAGGTTATGATAGTTTAATTTTATAATAGATATATTTTAAAATACCGTATTGATTATTAATCAATATTTTCAATTCGATAGTTTCAATCGATGTAAGCATAGCCCAATTAAGAAACTGTACCCTGAATGTGTTGTAATGTTGCGGTATTTCTTTGATATTAAAACCACAAGTCTGAATGATACAAAACATGACATTATGAAAGTTTAAAATTTTTTTACTTTTAAAAATAAGTAAACTGGTAAGCTTGAATACATTAAACTAGGTCCTCAAATCTAGCTTAAAAACCACTACATAATTTTAGCACGTTATTTCCAAATTTGGTAATTATTTACCCTATTTACACTGGGATTTTATGTAATTTTTATATGTCTACTTACAGTATTTTTAACGCTGAATCCAAAAATGCAATCAGTTTTGGTCGGAGAGATTCCTAAGTGGCCGTACAGTTATATAATTAATATTAAGCTTCAGTTTTGTTGATTTATTAACATATTTGTGGTATGGACGAGTCCAAAATCTAGTGGCGACTAAACTAAAAGGGGTGGAAGGTTTGTGGAGTGGAAACAGCTGTCAGTTGTTTATATTCTATACTAAACAGACAAAACCACAGACGACGCCATGAGAGCAAAATCAGAGTTACAATATATGCAATAACTAGATAAAAAGGAAAATGCACTTTGGTGCTGTTTATAAAATACAATAAATCAACTACCATGCATTTAAACTATTAATCACATGAACATAAATTATAAAACAAAATAGAATTTATTCACGTAAAATATCAGTAATAGAAGCTAGGCCACTGCCGACATGATCATCGTCCTCATTCCCAATCCTCAACCATTGACTAATGCCTCAACGTCTGGTAATGAACGTGCCATAGTGCATAATCCCATAGTACATAATCCCATTGTGTCTAAAAGTGAAAACGTGCCACAGTGCATAATTTAATGTATCAGCAACTAATAAATGATGTTACATAATCTAATCTAATCCAACCTAACCCAACCCAACCTTACTATTAAAGTTTAAATCACATTTTATGTCAGAAAAGGCATGTGAGGAAGATAGGTCGGACTTTATGCGGATTCGTGACTATATTAAGTCCTTTGAAGTGAGGTTAGATTAGGTAAGTTAAAGGTTAGGTTATAATGAACCGACTCATTAATTTATGCAACTTCCAGACTGTTTTTGCACAATTGAAATAGTGGGTAAAACACAATATTTAATTGTGCAAAAACAGTCTGGAAGTTGCATAAATTAATGAGTCGGTTCATTATAACCTAACCTTTACCTTCCTAATCTAACCTCACTTCAAAACACTTAATACAGTCACGAATCCGCATAAAACCCGACCTACCTTCCTCACATGCCTAAAAAAGAACTGATCATTTGGTTTCAAAACAAATTGATTTGATTTCATTCCGCATTAGATCAAGTATAAACAGTTGTTTGCTCTTCTCACTCAGTCCTCACTCTTCACTCAGTACGGACCCGTCCAGACCACGCCATATTACCATTACCTTCAGTACCGCTCAATTATCCTTGTTAGATTCGTAATCCTAACCTTCGTTTTACGGCCGCTACCGCCACTTGGGAATCTCTCCGACCAAAACTGATTGCATTTTTGGATTCAGCGTTAAAAATACTGTAAGTAGACATATAAAAATTACATCATATCCCAGTGTAAATACGGTAAATATTTGCCCCAAATTTTTTCCGGGTTCCCCTCCTTTGCTGGGGGCCCCCCGGTGACCCCCCCCCCAAAAACATATGTCTAGGACCGCCCTTGCCGGACTCTAACTTATATCGAAGTCATCTACCGTACTTATTTTTTTAGTAAACATTTGTCATTGAAATGGTTAGGCTATCGATTGGTGTTTTATTTAGACCAGGGATCGTTACTTAAATGCCAAACGAATCCTCTTTGGCACTTTAAGACGTTTTTCCATCAGCCAACCATGCCTGCCTATGTTTTCCCTACATGTAAAATATGTTATATACTTCTGATAATGTTTTTATCCTAGCATTAGACTTTTTCTTGTAAACTTTTTTAACATTTTTAAACAACATAAATGCCTCTTTTTTTGTATATTAGGCCTACTGATTTTATAAGTAATTTACTAAACCTTCCAAAGTCGGTCATTTACTGGACTCATGACTTTGGTGAATAAAAAAAACAATTTTCCAT